CTACTCCATGCTCTTTGGTCTGCCCGGTGCCAGAAGCCCGACAGCATGTTTTATCCAGGTCTCAAGAAAACGCAAATGTCTTGGCCCGTGGTCACAGGCACAGTCAGATTTCTCGTGCGTGTTGCCTAGGGCTAAAATTGGCATTCTCCTTTTTCTGCCAAGGACTTTTTGAATATACCCCTTAAAAACTTGCTCCAACAGATGCCTCTCCGATGAGAGAGGTGCTTGCCTCCTGCTCGGTCTGGCCAGTGAGGCCAGCCCTTCAAGCTCTAGTCACTCTAACTTCTCCACACCCTATAACCGCGAACAGAAATAAAGTCTTCCTTTCCTGAGTTACTTCTTTCTGGATATTTGTATCAAGACAACAGGAAAAGTAGCTAGTACATCTGGTCTACCTGAGCAGGAACCCCTTCCCCAACCACAAGGTTCATATTCCTGTCTCTACACATAGTAGGTTATGATCTCATCTGCTCCACGGGAATGGTGTGTTATTGCCAACCAGACATGCAGAATACCTGCTGTTTGATGGATAAATAGGTCATTATTTTTCCCTCTCTAGTCATGTCGCAATGACAGAGGCCAGAAAATTCTAGGTTAGATTCTCTGCTCAGGGGGAGGAGGAGGAACTGGGGAGGTCACATGCTTCCTCGAGAGTCGTCCAGATGGGCAGCAAAAGAGCTGGGAGCCAGGGCTGTCGGTTTCGGGCAAAGGGCTGTGGCTGTTCTGCCACCATTTGGATCCCTGGGAGCACCCTGACATGGACATCCATGGTGGGCTTGGCGGTCTCTGGGGACGCTGCTGAGAGGTAGCTCCGAGCTGTGTTGCTCCCTTCCTCCCTTCCTGTGCCCCACCTGGCCCTCTGCTTCCTCTTTCTATCCCAAGCGGAGTTGACTTGGCTGTACCGCCACCAATGAGTGGCTGACTATGAACCAAGCAGGTCCTGGACAGGTTGATCTGCTTCAACCAAAGCTGAACCGTGTGTCTGGTGCGTGGCAGGTCCTGCTGGACACTGGAGTTACAGCGACAGACAAAGCTAAGCTGCCTCTTGTCTTTGAGAAGCTGTGAGCTTGCAAAGGGAGAGGGTATTAAGTCGGGGAAACTGGTAAACTGGAGCCCGAGACCTAGTTTGGGAAGGGTTGCTCTGGGAAAGGCTTGTCTTGTCTAAAAGGTGACCGTCAAGCTAATACTGAAACATGGCCTGAAGACAGAGGGCATGACATTCTACAAATCCTCAGATGACTTAGTGGGTCTCCTATAATACCTTCTAAACCCCATTAAAGATGTAAGCTCTCATCCTATATTGTGTGTGTGTGTGTGTGTGTGTGTGTGTGTGTGTGTGTGTGTGAGGACCGAGCGTCTTACAGCCGGGTGATGGCCTAACTAAGCAGTTCCTCGGCTTCCCACAGCTCTGGGTCTCCCCTTATGCTGTGAGAGTGTACTCCTCAGCTCCCAGAACCAAGTCCCTGGTGATAGATACCCAGCGCCCAGCGCGTTTGCTACACACTTGGGGTTCTGTATTAGCTAAGTGGGTGGCTGCCCCAGCAGAGTGACTGTTCTCCTCCTGAGCTCTAGTTCCCTTTTCTGTCACCATGCCAGCAGGGTCTGATGGGGATGACTCAGGAGGGGCAGCATCTCTGTGGCCTGCAGTTTCCTAAGGGTTGGCCCGGCATGGTGGCAAGGGTTAGGGTTGCCTCGGTCTCCTGGGTGATTCTAGACTGGCGGACCACCGTGGCCCTCTGATGGCTTCCATAAGGTACCCATTGTGGGCGGGCAAATACAGTTATAGCGCAGGGCTAGGACAGGTTCTTCACCTGTGGGTTACGACCACTTTGACAAACCTCCAACCTCCAAAAATGTTTAATTACGATTTATAACGGTGGCAAAATTACAGTTAGGAAGTATCAACAAACAAAATTTCCTGATTGGGAGGGTGGGCACCACGACACGGAGAACTAACTGTATTAAAGGGTCTCAGCGTTAGGGAGGTTGAGGACCGCTGGGCTAAGGCAGTAATGCCTGTCTCTTTTAGATCCACCTGCCAGTGTGTGGCTCAGGACTCCCAGTGATGGAGGTTTTATGAGCTCATTTGTATCAGTCACTGCTGATCTGTCAACCCAGCGCCGTCGCCGTTGCCAACACAACACTGTGTCAGTGTTAGAGAACGCTCCCCAGTCCCCAGTCGCTCTTACACTGAGCAGAGAAAGGCAACGCCACCCCGGCAAGTGAGGCACTGGTGCACATTGGCCGGGGACTTGGTTCATCAAAGGGGGGCAATTAGGGATCTTGGCTGTGAGGCCTGGAGTCGGGGCAGCCATTTTGTAATCATGAGGAGAAGCTGTGGCATTCCAGAGTGATTGAATCAGTACAGAAGCTGCCCCCCTCCAGAATTCGCACCAGGACAGAAACAGACTCATGTTCATGTCACTGGATTGTTGGTTTCCCTCCCCACTCTCATGTGTGCACATGTGCACGCCTCTGTGTGTGTGTGTGTGTGTGTGTGTGTGTGTGTGCGCGCGCGCATGCGTGCGCGCAGCCTGCAAAGGTCCTGATCAATACCTGGTGTTTTCCTTTGGGTTTTCTCAGTAACTTCTGGTCTCCATGGGATTTCAGTGTGAGTGATAGGACCAGGCTGAGAGTTAAATCCAAGGGACTCAACTATACTCATGGGCACGCTCTTTCTAATCAACTGATTAATTAAAAATAATTATTTTGAGACAGAGTCTTGTTATATAGCCCAGGCTGGTCTCAAATTCACAATCTCTCCAGCCACAGCTTCCAAAAAGCTGGAAATAACAGGCCCGAGTCATCCACCATGGCTGCTTCCTTCTCTGCAACTTAAAGGTTCAGACTGGTGGGGCGTTTCTGCCACCAGGGTGAAGGAACTCTTGGGAGGTGTTTTAGCCTCTTGCAGATCTAAAATGGGCCCTGTGCCTCTCCTTGAGCTGGGATCTGGCCTTGCTAATGATCGGACCCTTAGCCTGCTGCCAGCTCCTCAAGACTTGGCACTGATGAGTGTAGCTTCAGACTGGTGGTGGCTTCACGGCCAGGCAGAGAAGAGGGAGAACACAGCCGATAGAGCCTGGACTGCCTTTAGTCCCCACACATCACTTCATTTAACCCATTAAAACTCCTGCCTCATGGACCTAATGCCATTCATTTCAGGCCACAGATTCTCACCCTAGGCAGGTCCAACGGCGGAACTTGAACTCTGATTTGTCTGGCTTCAAAGGCCAGGAGGAAGACTGTGCTCTGTCTGCCCCCTCCTTGGGAGGCACTCAGGGTGCCCAGCTGCTTCCTTGCAGAGGGACAAAGCGCTGCCTCATTCTGTGCAGTGCAGAACATGCCTCTCATTCTTCCTACGTCAGGGGGTAATAGACCAGCACCTTCCCGCCTCCCGGTTTATCATGGAGAGAAGTGGCTGTCTGTCACAGGGCCTGCAATTAGACACAGTGAAGGTCCGCTGTGGTGAGTAGTACCAGCTCAGACAGAGCATTAGGCCATGAGAAAAGGAAGGGAGGGAGGGAGGGAGGGAGGAGAAGGTAGGAAGAAAGGAGAAAGAATGAAGGAAGGAAGGAGAAAGAAGAAATAAAGAACAAGCATTAAACACACACACAAAACAAAGAAAAACAAAAAAGCAACCAAGCGCCAAGTGCAATTGTCTCCTGCGGTCACCACTGGTCCCCTTGGAGAGAGGAATGGCTCCCTGCTATTTTCCTGGCCCAAATCTTGCCTGGCACACAGGAGTCTGCCCGCCTACCTTTTCCCATTAAATCACAATCGGTCATTAGATAATTTACTACTTTTTCAGGGTAATCAGCGATCCAGTGCAGGGGGTGTGGCGTCCTTGATTAGAGGTCTGGAGATCACCTGGCTCCAGGCTGGCTCCCAGTGGCAGGAGAGAATCTTTCTAAAAACATCTTGCCTCTCGGTCTTGGACTCCAGGCAGCCTGAGTGCAGAGGAGCCGGGGCTCTGTGCAGAGGCCTCACCGCTAACCGTTCGAGGGTCCCGCCTGGCTCCTCATCCCCTCCTTTCCTCACCTGCCTGCTCGGTTCTCAGGAGAGAACTGGACCTCGGGGCTCCAGGCCCCAGTGTACTCAGGGCTGCCACCTCTACCCTTCAGTCATTAATGAGATTAAACACCACCACCGTGGCGGCTGGCACTCGATGGCGCAGACCGTGTCACGTTCCCTTTGAATTTTACCCCCACAAGCCCATCTGTTTCTAAAGGCGGTGTTGCCAGGGCGGCGCCTTTTAGCCAAACGTCATCTGCAATAAGAGGCACGTCCTGCTCCACATTTTAACATTTCTTCTCATTAACTGGTGCAGCTTGCTTTTATAGTGTCGCAAAAAAAAAAAAAAAAAAAAAAAAAAAAAAAAAAAAATTAAAACGCATCATAAAAGAGAAGCCTCCTATTTCTTTTCCAAAGAAATGAGGATCAGCCAAGTGGGTCACCAGGGAAAGGGGCTTGCTGTGAAAGCCTGATTGTAAGGATTCAGGCATTAAGCTGGCCTGTCCCGTGGTACCTGACAGAATGCACTCAGGCGGTATCCTGGACAGCTCAGGGTTCTATGGCTGCCACATCTCTACGTAGTCTCTATGTAGGTGCAAAGGACCCTTTAAAAGGAAAAGGACCCACTTCCTCTCTCTTTCCGGTTGTTCCTTACTTAACCTCTACTGCTCAGCGTGTTTGGCCCTCTCTTGTGATGGGATCCACCAAGGTCTCCCATATGCTTTATTCCTAACACTGGTGGCCTGATCTCACAACCTTTTCCTCTGTGAGAAGGAGAAATGGGAGGCTTTGGAGTCTTCTGTGGCCGTGCCGACAGGCCACACTTAGGGCTGTGCGATGGATGCCGAATGACATCACCTTCCTCCCGGGGTGCCCAGTCACTCGTGGGAGTAATCTCTCCTGCGCTTGTCCTCCAGCCTGGCATTTTGTTATTCTTCTTTACCTGTCTTTCCCTTCCCTCTCTAAACGAGGCCCGGAAACCATCTCACTGTGTAGGCGAATATAGGCGAATCCTTGAGAGCTCGCTTAAGGGGGTGTTTAGGGTTTATTAGAGTACACAAGAAATACACATCGCAAGTGTCTTCCGTTTTTCCTGGGGGTGGGGGTGGGGGAGGTGGCGTGAATGGAACCAGCAGCCCTACCTTCAACCACAGCACGAGAGAGAGGGCCGGTACTCCAAGTCTTGGCGGAGTGAGTTCCCACAACATGATTGTTTTCCTGCCCCTTACATGCTGGGCGCTGACCAGGACAACCTCTGGGCTTTCCCAAATTTTGGAATGGGCAAGGTTTCAGTTCCACTGCCAGCTCTGCCCCTTGCCTGGGCCCTGTCCTCTCTGAGCCATGGTCCTTATGTGCACCCACAGGCCACCCATTCCCACCCTCCCTCCCTTGGCTAACCGTGGTGGAGTAAGACATCTAAGACATCTCAAAATTAAGCATGCTTAAAACATCTACCCGATTATGATTTGCATCTAGACCAATGACACAGTAGCTTGTCCCAGGCCCACCTTACACGCACGTATAAAAGCACGTATATACCGTATTTCACTTCTCTTTGTCCTTATTTAGGCCTAGCTGACCTTCCCATTCTCAGTAGGCAGGAGGAGAGGAAGGCTCAGAGATGCTGCGAAACTCCAAGAGTGACACCCAGCAGCCAGTCCCTCCATCCCCATGTATGTGTGGCGGGGAGCCAGTCTCTCTGGCCCAGCAGATCTCCGGAGCTAAGTTCTGCGATCCCTGCCTACAATTCATCTTCATTTCCCCACGACGCTCTACAGTGTCTCTGTCAATTTAGCCCATCATTTTGGAATTACTGGCTAATGGGATGGGGGGCCCAGCTCGCAGTTCTGATTCGTGTTCTCATTCTCTGTGAGAAACCAACCATCCAAAGCAGCAGGGATGTCTGGACAATTTAATTATACCTGGGCCCTCCCTTCCCCTCTCCCTGACCCAATTCTCTGGTTCAGCACAGAGGGGCGACTCACCTGAGTCTGTGGATCTGAGTCATACGAGGGCCACAGTGCCTTCTTGCTGGAGGTGTTCTGCAGCTTTTTGTTGGCCGGCACTTTAGTCATGTTGAAAATACCTCAGGCTTTATTTAGCCTGCACCTTCACAAGAAGGGTTTTTGTTGCGTATCCAGAGTCCTCGACTTTGGGGGAAAGGTCCCCAAGATTCTCCCAGCCCCACAAGTCCCAAGTCCCCGGACTGCACGGAGGTCTCTCCCAGGACTAGTTGGAAGGCTGAGCATCCGGTGTCCCAGGTAGGGAAGTGGGGTAAGCTCCCACAGGCGAGCCCGGAACTGTTCAACTTGTACAAAATCACTTCTATAGTTTCCTCTCTTTAAGGAGGGAATATCTTTCCCCTATAAGCAAAATAAAATGTGAGCTGAAAAATATAAAATTCTACAGACAAAAAAGCCCCATCCTCGCCCAGCCAGCGAGGCGAGGGAGCAAGGTGGCCCACCATGGGGCTCAGCCTTGGGGCCTAACTGCCAGGTAGGGCTCGCTCCGTTACCTGGCAACCGGACGCCTGAGAGCTTCCTAGTTGGCTGGGATTGGTGGAGGCGAGGACAGGGACTCTTCCTGGTTGCTGGAAGTGGTGGGCTCAGCAGCTGGCTGGCCAGGGAGCCGCCTTGTCCAAACTCTTTTTGGGGGGTGTTGTGGGTGGAGGAAGTGTTTTACGTTTGTTGTTTTGTTTTTCTGCTCAGGCTGGAGGACTCCTGCCCTCTCTCTAATTGTCTCCAAGATTCCCTCCTTTCAAAGTTGGTTTCCTCCTGTTGTTCATCTAAGAGTGTTTTCTCGGGCTTTGTTTTAAATGCTCAAATGCAGGTGCCTATTGCTCTTCCCACCTGAAAACTCCTACATGACCTTTAAAACCCATGTACAGATATAGATATGTACGTGTGTGTCTGCGTGTGTGTGTGTCTGCGTTTGTGTGTGTGTGTGTGTGTGTGTGTGTGTGTGTGTGTGTACATGCCACTTATTGGGAGCCAGCAATATACAATGCGCTGTTTGTGTTTTTCACAACATTTCTGAACTGGCTAGTCTCCCCAACCCAGAGCCATTCGATTCTAAACTTTAAGGTTTTACTCACGGAAACCTAACTTTGTAAGCTTTGGGTTTCCAGGTCTTTAAATTGGGGGCAGTGGGATTACTAGTGGTGGTGAAGGATGAAGGAAATAACACGTGTGGGTAGCCCAGGTGGAGGGGTATTGTTAATGACTCTGGGAAGTGTCAACATTCTCTCTGCTCTGGGCTCACAGCCCAGCAGATGTTAATGCCTTCTGATATTTATTGATCACCTGCTCTGTGGCGGCCCCGCAGCAATTTAACCCATATATTTTGATTCACATGCCTTCCCCTTGGCTGTATTTTATTCTGCCTCAATCCCATCCAAGTTTTATTCCTAAACCTTGGGCTGTGAGGGCCCTGATCTCACCATGGCTCCTTCTTCTCTGGACTCCCTCCCACTGCCGGAAGTCTCTCTACAGAATGCAAACCGCCTCCCTCTGACAATGCTATCCTCTCTCCATCATCTGTCCGAAGGCTGAACCTGACCTTCCTCACCACAGGAAGTCTGGGTCTGCCTGCTTCTTCTGTGGGTAGCATTCAGCAACCCTGGAGAGTTTTCTGAAGGCTGAAGATAAACAAAGCCATGTTTAGAGGACAGGGCTGGGCATGAGACAGTGAGGAGCAGAGGTAAGGCTTACAGGGCCACGTGGCATACAGGGAGATGTGGGTGGGGCCGTGAGGTAGAGTCAAGCAGTCCTGCATGGTCTGGAGGAGAAGGGTTTGAGCTCAGCTCGAGGAACTCTACACACAAGCACAGCATCTGGTTTGCTGGTGTTAACTGTGCGGTGTACTGGCCCCATTAGAGTATTTCCACATGTGTGTATAATGTGATTCAAGTAATTCACTTCTTGTGCCTTCCTTCCCTCCGGCTCCTCCCCTTCCATGCTCCTAACATTCTCTAAGAGAAAACAAGGAAGCATGCAGTTCTCGTCTTTCTGAGTCTGTCTCGCTTCATACAATTCCCATTTCTAGCCATTTCCTCGAAACTGTGTAATTTCATTCTTCACGGTGGAATAAACCTCTATTGTGAATGCAGACATTTCTTTGAAGATTACCTGTGTGTTTGTGCATGTGTGTTTATTTGTGAACACTTCTCTCTGTGTGTATGTGTGTGTGTGTGTCTGTGTGTCTCTGTGTGTGTGTGTGAGTGCAAGCATACACACTCACTTAAGTGCAGTGTCCACAGAAGCCAGAGAGGGTGTTGGATTCCCCTAGAGCTGCGGTTACATGAAGTTGGGAGCTGCCCTATATAAGCCCTGGGAACCAAACCAGCAGGCTCCCTCAACCATGGAGCCATCCATCCCTCCAGCCTTGAGATCTTTGTTGAGCCATTTGCTGAGGGGCACTCGGGTACTCTATGACCTGGGTGCTGTGGATGGTGATGGGAAAATGTCTCAGGCTCTGCCCTCAGCTGGGTCAGTGAACAGCCTCAGTGATAGCGATCTGGTTGGAGCAGGCTGAAACCGAAGGGGTCAGTCCACATGACGTGCTGGGTCTGGGTCTAGCACAAAGAAAGTGCTCAATGAAGTCAGTACTCATTTCTTTGTTGTTAGTCACCTGTTTGTGTCAAACGAAAACTGGGAAATCAGGAAGGCTTTGGGACAAGAAGACCTGTGTTCAAATTCTGCTTCTGCCATTGACTGCTCATGGGGCCTAAGCGAAGCTCTTCTGATTTCCCCAGCTTTAGTTTTTAATCTCATGTGTGAGTGTCACATGCACTGACAGTTTATCCATTTTGTTCCTGTCACCCAGAACTCAGGGACAAGTGCACAGAGCACTGGCCCAGATGGTTGGGGTCATCTTCCTTCTCTAGTCAAGGGTTCTACAGCTCAAAGCAATGGGTGAACTCCCTAGTGCTCCAGGTGTTCAAGCAAATGCTATTTGGCTTCTTCACAGGCATGTGGCTCGTGAATTAAACCAGTGTTTAAATCCCAACCCACAATTACCAGCTGTGCAACACTACCCAAATCATTTCTCCTAGAGCCTTCATTTTCTCCTTATAGAGTGGTGGAAATTGTACAGCCATGAAAATGATATAATGTCCAAAAAACATCGAGTCCACTGGCTGGCATGCAATAAAAACGTGGCAAATGCTAGCTATTTTATTTTATAGCCATATGAACCAAAGCATTTCTGCAATCAACTTGTTAATACCAGATTCAACTACTTAAGGGGAAAAAAGCTTCCTGATTTTAGAGTACCTCTGAATCTACTTAGTTGGGGAGCACACACACACACATATATGCACACATACTCACACACATGAACACACACACACACACAAGACAGAGACAGAGAGACACAAAAGTTTATTTCAATTTTGGTCTTTCAATAGACCATTCCAGAATGGGTTCTATGTGTGCTATTGCCTTAGTGTGTTTTGAGTGTGTCTCCCAACATTTCATGTTGGTGACTTGAAGAGACCGGGTCTCCTGGGTAGTAATTGGGTCATGGAGAGTGCTTCCCTGGGAAGGATTTAATGCAATTCTCCCTAACCCTGGCTGGTTCTATGACAGGGTTGTTACAAAATAACAAGCCTGGCCTCTCCCCATTTCTCTCTCTAATTTCCTGCCTCTGTTTGTGATCTTCTCTGGCACTCTTCCACCATGATGTCATCTGCCATGATGCAATGCAACTAGCCGGCTCTCACTAGCGCCAACACCATGGTGTTTGGACTTAGTCCTCCAAACTGTGAGCCAAGAAATCGCTTTCCTTTATAAGGCATATGGTCTCAGGCATCCTGTGTGTGTGTCTCAGGGTCTCAGGCATCCTGTGTGTGTGTCTCAGGGTCTCAGGCATCCTGTGTGTGTATCTCATGGTCTCAGGCATCCTGTGTGTGTGTGTGTGTGTCACGGTCTCAGGCATCCTGTGTGTGTCTCGTGTAAACGGAGATAAACAAACTAATACAACCCGGATGAAGAAATAAAAGCAAGAGAGTCAACACATTGAAGGTGAAAGGAGGGATAGGAGGAGGAGCCACATACCGAGAAGCAGTTCTGAGAAAATCTTGGCCAGGTCAGGGCAACACAATACTTCAGAGCTCATGGCTTAGCAATGGCTTTAAAAGATGATTCCTAAACTCTGTGGAGCCAGCTGCTTTTGGCTGGTGTGATGGCTGATTATGACCAGACCCTGTGGCCACGGGAAAGAATGCTTCCACGTTCTCGGAGTTCCTGTGGCAGGAGGAAGTGACATTGGTAGCCAACAGGATTGGTAGCCAGTCTTCTCACACGCCCAATTCCCAAGCGGAGCTCTTTGCCACCATTTGCCTAAAACCCACACTTCCTTGGGAAATGGCATCCATACTGCCTAGTAATTCCTTTTGCTATTTTAATTCTTTCTTTCTGTTTATTTTATTACCTGTAAGCCAATAGTAGTATTTTGAGAATCCCATTTATTAAGGAGGTAGATCCACACAAATTAGTATTTGTGTGTGTGTTTTTTTTTTTTAATATGGTAACCATGTTGGGGGGGGGGGAAGCACACTAAAAATCCCAAAATTACACAAACTTACTTTTAAAATATTGTTTGTATTTGATTCTTAAATAGCTACAGTTTTCCCCCCAAGGGGACACATGGATATTGTGTTCACTGCCCAGTTTCTCAGACCCTGGTGTTAGACTGGACACCATCAATTTCACTTCCTGTCACAGTCATTTCATTTCTGTTACAGCCCATGTTTTATACCGAGCCCTTTGGAGACACGAGTAAAATGTGATCTACTGTTGAAATTGTGTGTGCCAGTCAGCCAGGGATGCCACAACAAAGTACTACATACTGGGTGATTAAGTACCAGAGACTAAATTTCTTGTCACCTGAAGTCACTAAGATCAGAGTTCAAGGTGTATAGATTCTGGTTCTTCTTATCTCTCTCTCTCTCTCTCTCTCTCTCTCTCTCTCTCTCTCTCTCTCTTCTTGTATATGGCTGCCTTTTTCTCTGTGTGTCTTCCCATGGGCTTCTCTTGCATATCTGTGTCTAGATTTCTTACAGTGACACTGGTTA